AGAAGAAGAAGAAGAAGAAGAAGAAGAAGAAGAAGAAGAAGAAGAAGAAGAAGAAGAGGAGGAGGAGGAGGAGGAAGAGGAGGAAGAAGAAGAAAAGAGAAGAAGAAGAAGAAGAAAGAAGAAGAAGAAGAACAACAACAACAACAACAACAACAACAACTAGTAATAGCAGCAGCAGCAGTAGTAGTAATAGTAGTAACTGTGATGTAGGCACCTGGTCAAGACAGCCTGGAGTGAATGTTCTGACACATGGGGTGCCCTGGCATCTGTTGCCCTACATGAGGGTCTTACCTGCAGTTGGTCTGTGGACAAAATATGACTCCCCGCTCAGTCCAGGCTCTGTCAGTGACTTGCTGTGTGAACCTTACAAATCACGACACTCTCTCCAGACCTGTTTCCCCATAGGAAAAACAGGGGGCCAGATGAGCTGATATCTTAGAGTGCCTCCATCTCTGACAACCTAAGGAGTTATTTCCTCAGGCTTCTTCAGAGACCCCCCTCCTTCCTTCCCTGAGCTCCTTCAGGAATTCTGAATCATTGCATTCACTCATATCCAATAGACAAATGTTCCCTGCCGCATCCCTGTTGACTAGCATCTCCCTCAGCTGGCTCACCTGCAGTGATGGGAAGTTCACTCTTTCATGGTGGGAGCAGTGTGGTTCTGTAAGAGAGCACAGGCTCTGGGTTTCAGTCCCAGCTCTGTCCTTCCCTCACTGTGATACCTTGAACCAATCATTCCATCTCCCCAAGGCTCAATTTTCCTCATCTGCAAAATGGGTGGACGAATACATACATCATGGAGATATTGTGAAGAATGGAAAATAACAGTGCATTTACCATCTGCTCACACCATGCTGGGAATTGTTCTAAGTTCCATGTTCATATTTTCAATCTGAAGAGGCAGGTAACATAGTATTCATCACCCCCAGAAAAGAAAGAAAGTTCTAGATGTTAAGGGACAGAGCCAAGATGTGAACCAGCAACCATGTGCTGAACCATACAGCTGTTCTGCCACCACATACAGGAGGTGAAGGGCTTAGCACAGGGTCTGACCTATGGCCACCTGACTCCATTGAGTGTACCAGCAAGACAGGCCAACAGAGCGAGAGGGAGTGGGAACTTTGGCCTCCATAGGCATAGTCAGAGTTTTGCACAAAGCAAGAACCTAAGAGCTATTTTAATTTCAGCATACATGCAAGTTTCATGTTTTACAGTTTAGGTATTATTTGTATTTTTAGTTCTTATTTGGCGGAGAGCATCTTCATATCACTTTTTCAGGTGTGGCACCTTCAAAGGTCATCATCTGGGCCTGCATCTCTTCCAGAACAGCTGGGTCTTCTGTGGGTCCATCAGATTATGAAACTTCCCTTCTTGCCCGAATCCCAAATCTGACCCCCATGGTTCCTAGGTCCCCTCCCTTACACTGCCCTGGAAGAGTCCTGCAGAGACCTCAAGGCAGTGGACCAGCAATGCTCTTAAGTTCATGCATGGTACAAAACACCTTAAATGCATTCCAGGCATGGCAGGAGACCCATCAGACTTCCTAGAGCTGCCTGTGGTCAAGACTGGAAGAGGAGGCATCAGCCTGGCTGTGTCCTACCCCTGAGCCAACAGGGGGTGCTGTCTTCGACCAACCCTACCTGGCTCTGAGTCTCCAATCCTGGGGCTCCGGAAGCTGCCTCCTTTGCAAACCATCCAAAGTGAGTTTAATACAGGCACCCCCGCCCCCAACTCATCCAACACACACAAACACACACACACACAGTGTCTGCAGACCGGCCAACTGGGCTGGCTACCCACCTGCTCTCCCTCTGTGGGTTTTTATCAAAGACTACAGATTAAAACAATTCCCTCCTCATTCCCACTCCCACCTCCCCTTCTGTGGTTCCTCTAAGCCCATCCTTCCTGGAATCCCAGCACCATTCCAGAGTTTTGAAAACTTTTCTTTTTCCAGATGGAGTCTTGCTCTGTCACCCAGGCTGGAGTGCAGTGGCTTGATCTCGGCTCACTGCAACCTCTGCCTCCCGGGTTCAAGTGCTTCTCCTGCCTCAGTCTCCCAACTAGCTGGGTTTACAGGCACGTGCCACCACACTTGGCTAATTTTTGTATTTTCTTTTTTAGTAGAGATGGGGTTTTGCCATGTCGGCCAGGCTGGTCTCAAACTCCTGACCTCAAGTGATCCACCTGCCTCAGCCTCCTCTAACATGCTGGGATTACAGGTGTGAGTCACCATGCCCAGCCTAAAACCTCTTTATCACTATAATCTATCTCATTTGAGCCTCACAACTGCATTGCCTATGAAGGCTGTAGGGCAGGGATTGCAGTCTCCTCAGCAGGAGGAAACTGAGGCATAGAAAGAGGGAGTGAGGGAGCGCACGGCCCATCAGTGACAGGGCTGGGTTGGGTGGGGGAGCCAGGCTCCTGAGGACAGGGTGTGCCCGAACTCAAGCCTACTGTTGGTTGAGGGACCCTCTTCTCCAACCCCCTCGCTGGGAACCACCAACTTTGAGAGTAACTTCATGGGCAGTGCTTATTCCTAAAAAGTCAAGAGAACTGCTTTCCTGCCACCAACTTGCTGTGTGTGTGACCTTGGGCAAGTCCCTCTGCTCTAAGCCTCTGTGGAGTGTGGAGATCACATCAGGGTCCCCCACTGATTGAGATATTCTGACTAAACAACTAGTATCTGAATCACCTCCACCCCTTTGGGGTCCCTGGGATCCTCTATCAAAATGCAAGAGGGCTTGTAGCAGAGCTAACAGCACCGCAGTGTGATAACAACACTCGTCTCCATTTCTCCACTGCTTTCTACAGCCTCAATATCTAATGTAATCCCCACTACCAGGAGGTAGGCACTGTTATTATCCCCATTTTATAGATAAGAAAACTGAGGCTCAGAGAAGTGAAGAAAGTGACCAGGCTAGCACTGGAGACTGGGGGGACTCCACCTCAAAGGGCGGGCTCTTGATTCTACTGTCAGCTACTCATAGAAGTTTCTGGAAGTTTGCTTTAGAAACTCCACTGTAGAAACTCTGTGGCCCTTGAGCCCCCATTCAAACTGAAGCCCTTCAGCTGCCCCTCAAGTATCGTGAGAATGAGGACACAGACAGACAGGACCCACATCTCCCAGCCTCTTTCCACCCACCCTCCTTGAGCCAGCCCCTCATCCTGGACCCACAAGCACACTGCAGCCCAGCCAGAGCCCGTGAGCAGATGCAGATTTATTATTGCACAGACTGCAGCATCCTGAACCCCAACCCCAAACACCAGCCCCCAAACTAGGCCTGGGAGCTTTGGCAGGCACAGGCTTGTCTCCAGCACCAGCCAACAAAAAACAGGACAAGAATCTCCAAGACTGAGCCTGGAGCCCGTCAGCACTGAGCAGTGCCCCTGCCCCATTCCCCTCACGCTCCAGGAGTCTTGAGCAGCTCAGATGCAGATACAGAGCTGTGGGCCATGGCCAGCTGAGGATGGAAGAATCTGCAGGTTCTCCTCCATGAAAATGCAGTCCCAGATTCCAGCCAAGTCACAAGGTCCCAGCAGGGCTTGAAACAGCAAGTGTGAAGCTAAGGGAGAAGGTTCCCAAGCACTGAGGGGAAATGGGGAAGCCGACCCCATCAGAAGCAAACTCCTAGGTCCCAGAGCTGCCTGGGGAGGCCCTGCCACAAAGCCAAAGCCCCCAAGGTCCACAGAAATGAAGGGAGGACAGCAGCAGTTCCCTCTGGCTCAGCTTGGAGGCCACGTCCTTCCCCAGGCTTGGAGGGGCCTGGAAGTTCTTTCCCTCCATCCTCCTGGAGGCAGGAAACCATGGCCTTTGGCCCTCCCCCCACCCCCAGGAAATGCAAGGGCCCAGAGACCTAGTGTGGTACAAAACATCTTTAAGTGAGGTACATCCAAGTAGCCGTCTTCTGCCAAGTAAGCCAAAGGGGCTTATAACTGCACCCAGACTGTACCCAGTTGGAGCCCCAGACTTGCTCCTCTCCTGCCGGGAAATGCTTCTTGACAAGCAGCGTGTCTTCAACACCTGCCTCAGTGTCTGCCCCAGGGACATCTCCCTGGGCTTCCATGGGCTTCTGTGCTCCCCTGAGCTTTCGGTGGGCCTTGATGGGGGAGGAGACAAGCCATTCCACAGGGCATCACAGAAGATTTCTCTCACCGGTCCTAGGCCTCCTGCAGGTGACCCTCTAGCATCCCCAGCACACGGGAAACCCCAAATGCAATCCCAGTCTCAGACACACTCCAAAGCAGGCCATCATCACTGCACCTTAACCCCTCTTCCCACCCCGGTCCCTTGGCCACCTGGCCAGCGGCTTCCCAGCCAGAGGCTCTATGGGGTCTCCCCTCGTCTATTGGTCCAGAAGGGAAGCTGACTGGACTGGTAGGAGGAGACACAGCACTGTGTTCTGGGATATTCAAACTGACCTTGTCCATTTCCTCTACTGTCACTCAGAACATCTACAGGCAAGGGAGACAGTGCGGGGTGCAGACTGCACAAGGACAGGCCTCTGCACTGGTCTGAGGGGGTCTCAGCACCCACCCCACCCAGCTTCCCTGGGAGGCCTCAGCCCACAGCCAAAGGATTAAATCAAAGCGGGGCAGGGTGGGAGGAATGGGGATGGGATTGAATATTAACGTCCTGGTTAGGTGACATCTCCCAAAACACACAAAAGCCCAGGGAGGGGACAACCTAGGGAAAGGCAAGGGAGTAGAGGAGGGCAGGGGACAGGAGCAGATCAGGAAGCTCAAGAGATCAGGGTGCTTCTCTCTGGGCTCTCCTTGCCCCTGGGCAGAGAGCTCCTGAAGGAGCCCAGGACATTCCATTCCTCTTGGCACCACCACCGCCACCCAGCACAGGCACCATGGGAGGCCTCTTGAAACTCTTGTTGGGTGAATGTGAACTGGACCGCGGGGCTCCAGGTCCAGAGTCCAGTCCTCTTTGGCCACCCTGCCTGGCACTGCAAAAAGACGGTCCTCATGTCCTCAGCAGGAACTTCTGGCTCTGCAAACAGACAGCAAAAGGGTCAGGTGAGGGAGGGAGGGCAGTGGCTGGGACGCCAAGCCAGGTATAGGGCTCAAGCCTCAGGGTTCATCTTCTCTGGGGCAAGATCCCACCTCTACATCCCCCCAGACAGCCTTGTCCCTTGGTTCTGATACTCAGCAGGTCACAAACAGGTCCCCGAGGCCTCTCCTGGCCCTGGCTGCCTGCCTCTGTTTATTTGCACATGCTGTTCCCTTTGCTGGTGCACTCATCTCTTCCCTCTTCCTCCCACACTGCCATCCGGTTCACTCCTTTTCACCCTTCAGGTCATTAAAGGAATCAGTGCCTGCAGGAAACATTCCCAGCGCCCCTGTGAAACATGGCACCTGCAGAGCTCAAGCGTTCACCCCCACGGCAGCACCTACCAGGCTGGTATTGTCATTGACTGTTTACGTGGTGACAGCATAGACTCTCCGGGAGCTGATTAAGAACCTCTAGCCCAAACTAAGCTAGGATCAAACAGGGGGGCCTGGGGAAAAGGCAGAAACCCTGTTACTATCGCCAAGCATGGGACTGAGGCTGTGAAGGCTGGTTCCAGCAGGGGGAAGATTTTGTCTTGTAGATGCTTCATCTTGAGAGCAGCGAGGGCCACTCTCCTTCAGCCCAGCCCAGCCCACTCCACTTCATGGGAATTTACCCAAGCCCCCAGCTCCATCATGGGGAGAAAACTGAGAGGGAACCAATGGGCAGAGGAACGGGAGGAGGCTGGGGGACCAAGGGATTAAAGACTGAAGTGGGGAAGAGAGAAAGGGAGCACAGAGATGAGTGTCCCACCATCCCAGGTGAGCTCAGTCTACACCTGTTGTGCTTAATGTCTGAACTGCAAGACTTTTCTGTCATGGGCTCTAAGTTCAGGGTTACTTTCATTGTGTTCACCACGTTCTTAAAGCAGCAGTGAGTCCTTGCGGTATACCCAGCTCCCGCCAGAGCATTACATGTTGACCAAATGAATGAGTGAACGAAGCCCTCAGTGCTCACCTGACAGAGAGCAGGTGCTCTGCAAACATTGAACTAATGAAAGTAAGAGTGTGTGTGTGTCTGTGTGTGTGTGTGTGTGTTGGTATCAAATCACACTCTAGGTCCTGGCTTCTGCAGGTGGGTGGACCTCAATTAGTCACAGGACTGTCATCCAAGTACTGGGTAGGTCCCTCCTCCCACCACCCTGGCTCCGAACTCCCCAGGGGCTCCTACCCCCAACCCCTCCTCCAGCCAGTTGGCTGCACCTGGTAGGCGAGGGTCAGGTCAGGAGGTGAACGAAGAGGATGGCCAGGCCGATGTTCAGCAGGATCACCATGCAGATGAGGATGGTGTTGGGGACCTGGGAGCGGTAGAGAGAGGCTGCCTGAGTCCCCATGGCCTCTGAGACACCCCCCACCCAGGTCACAGCAAGGCTGGACAGAGCAAGAACTTCTGGATGGACCTTCCTAACAACATTGCCGTCTTTGTTCACTGTGGTATCCTGTCACCTGGATGGCAGACCATCACAGCTGAAAGGCCTCTTAGACACAACCAAATCCCTCAGGGCCCAGGGAAGGACAAGATCATGCTCCACGTCATATAGTGTGTGGATCAGGCCTGGAACCCAGGCATCCTGCCTTCTTCACTGCTAATTCCCCTTGGGACGCATTCTTCTGTCCCTCAGAGCCCAGCTTCAGTCTTTGTTGCTGCGGTTCCTAGCTCCCTGCCTCCCATAAGTCAGGAGGTCTATAACCCAAGTCCTGTTGGGCCCTTCTTCCACCTCCAGGAAGCCCTCACTGCGACACCTTATAGCAGATGCTGCTGGTGCCCAGCCCAAACCCCTGACTGGGCAAATGGACCCACCCTCCAGCTGCTCAGGCTTCCAGCTGCCCCCTGCTCATGAGAATTACCTCTGCCAATGGGATACCAGGTGCAAAGGCAGGAGGACTCCATGGGGCCATTTATACTCCAAAGTCCTCCGTGGACCAGGCCAAGGCTATACTCCCCTAATCCCCAGCCCTGCTGCATTTTCCCCTGCTCTATCCTGCTTCGGTCTTTCGCACCCCGAAATCCCCCGCCCATGAGTCCTGCCTCAAGCCCTGCTACCTCTAGGGAACCCGACCTTAGGCACACCTTCTCTGACAGCCTCACCTCTTCCACCTCCACCTCCGCCTCTGCCGCCAGCGCTGCCTCCTTCCGTGCCTTCTTCTTGGCCCCGGCCTTGGTCAGCCCTCGGGCCTCAGTCTTACGGGCCTTGGCCCTGGGCTCGGCTTTGGGGTTGATGGGCTTGGGCTCCAGCTTGGCGGGGGTCTCGCGTGCAGGCTCGGGGCCTCG